AAAAAAAAAAAAAAAACAGATAATGGTGTGTGGCAAGAGTGAGACCCTGGGTTCAGTCCCCATCACCACACACACACAAAAAGATGGTGGACAGGTGAAGGGCTGGGGCTGTAGCTCAGTGGTAGAGCACTTGCCTTGCACGTGTGAGGTATTGGGTTTGATCTTCAGCATCACAAAAATAAAGATGTTGTACCAACTACAACTAAAAAAAAATAAAAAATAAATTTTTAAAAAAAAAGGAGATAGGAGAAGATGCTGGGAATTTCTAAGGTCCCAGATTCCGGGTGAGGTTGCTGTTCTGGGCTTCTCAGGGTGTCAGCAGGTGCCCTGGAGGCAGAAAGCCAAGCCTACCCTGCCTGGAATGTTCAGCAGATGAATCAGTCCAGGGGGATAAATTTGAATGTGAACGTGTAGGGCAACCCCGACATGAAGGTAGACAGACTCTTCCTTCTTTGCAAGACCTTGAGCTTGTAAAAACCTGGGCTGAGGAAAGTGTTTTGTTTTCCTTCCGTATTGGGGATTGAACTCAGGGGCATTTGACCACTGAGCCATATTCCTAGCCCAATTTTGTATTTTATTTAGAGACAGGGTCTCACTGAGTTGCTTAGCACCTCGCTTTCACTGAGGCTGGCTTTGAACTCGCAATCCTCCTGTCTCTGCCTCTCGAGCCACTAGGATTGCAGACGTGGCCACGGCACCTAGCAAGGATAAAGTGAAGCACTAAAAGAAGGGGCACAGCGTTTTAGCCCTGAGAAGTATTGTTTTCCAGTAGTCAATTTCTCGTTTTTCTTCACCCCTCCCTTTATTTTAAAAAAAGGTATAAAATAAGGCTGGGGTTGTGGCTCAGTGGTGGAATGCTCACCTAGCATGCATGAGGCACTGGRTTCAATCCTCAACACCACATAAATGTATAATAAAGATATTGGTCCACCTAAAATTAAAAAATAAATATTAAAAAAAAAGTATAAAGTGGGTATGGAGGTGGATGTCTGAAATCCTAGCCACTTGGGAGGATGACAGCTTGACAAGACCCTGTCTCAAAATTTTAAAAACTATTTAAAAGGGCTGGAGACATAGCTCAGTGGTAGGGCACTTGCCTAGCATGCGGGAAGCCCTGGGTTCCATCCCCAGCTCTGCAAAGAGGRAAAAAAAGCATAAACATAAAATGCAGATAATGACCTCCCCGTTGTGGCAGTTAAGTTACAGCTGTACAGAAGGGCTTGATTAGTTTTAGGATTGGTTGGGGGGCAGCAAATAAACCATGTTTTTAAGGCCATGGTCACATTTGCATATCAGTAAAGGTGAGGTTCTTGGGGCTGTGGAGCTGTCCATTATAAGGTGGACAGACCATTATGTGTTTGATGCTTTTGTTTTTCTTGTCAGTGTATTTATTTTTGTGTTTATCGTGGTTTGAACTCAGGGGCTTGTGTGTGCTAGGCAAGTACTACACCACTAATCTGCATTCCCAGCTCTTTTTTTTTTTAAGGGGTGCATGAGAAGAGGGGAATCTTTTATTTATTTATTTTTTGAATGTATATATTTTTAGTTGTAGTTGGACATAATGCCTTTATTTATTTATTTTTATGTGGTGTTGAGGATCGAACCCTAGGGCCTCTCGTGTGCTAGGCAAGGGCTCCAGTGCTGAGCCACAACCCCAGCCCCCACCCCAGCTCTTTTAATCTGGTTTTGTTTTACTTTATTTATTTATAATACTGGGAATTAAGTAAGGGAGCATTCTACCTTTGAGCTGTATTCCCAGCCCTTTTAAATTTTTGTTTGTTTACATTTTGGTACTGAGGATTGAACCCAAGAGCACTTTTTTTACTGAGCTACATCCCCAGCCCTTTTTGGATTCCGAGGTGTGTAGGCCCTTGCTAAGTTACCCAGGTTGGCCTCCAGCTTGCTATCTCCAGCCTTGGCCGCTCGAGCAGCTGGGATTACAAGTGTGTATCACTGAGCCTAGCGCAAAATTTTTAAGTAATTTTTCTTTTAATTAATAATTTTATACTGAGAAGGACTTATACATGAGACAAAGTTTAATATACATTAAAAAGTTATTTGGGGGCTGGGTGATAGAGCACTGGCCTAGCACGTGCAAGGCCCTGATTTCCATCCCCAGCACTGGAGAAAAAAGTCAACCTAAAGTTTAACTCTAAAAAAAGTTGACCTTTAGTCACTTATTCAAAAACAAGTTTAATCCAATAAAGATCTTTTGTTTTTGATATAGCAGAGAAATTAAGGAGAACACAAAACAGGCGAGGGGAAGGGGTCCCCAAACCTGGTACTGTGGTTGCCATTCGCCCCTTCAGAGATAGCAGTGTTGGCAGAATAGGAGGTCTGAAGCCAGATTTGAGGAGGGACTGCCGGTGAAAGGCCTTCCTTCTGGGGGTGAACTGGTGTTGACAGGGTCTGTTGTGGGAGCAGGCCGGGAGGCTCTGGACTCTGCCTGAGGCGTTGAGAAGCTGAGTGGAGGCTGGGCCTGGGGCTCAGAGGCAGAGCGCTTGCCTAGCGTGCATGGGGCACTGAGTTTGATTCTCAGCCCTGCATATAGATRAATACATAAAAATAGAGAAGCTGGAGGATGGTGTCTGGGGATAGAGGTCTGCCCAGGCTGGCCGGGTGGCCTCCACCTGCTTCCTTTCACAACAGATGTGATGGTCCCTGCTGCACTGGAGGACGGGAGGTATAAGCCACCAAGCAGTTCAGTGGCAAGTAGGTGGAAGGGTGCCTCGGTGCTTGCTGTTATAGACCCCATAGGAAGTGGCCTGAATCAGAGTCAGGGAGTTGAATCTGGATGCTGGTCCCCATGTGGCCTCCCCTGGGTGTCTCCCCGAGCAGGAGCCCAGTGCTGGTGGTGCTCGGTCAGAGTTCCCTTTCTGACCTTATCCACGGGTGTGATTGAGAAGTGTTAGGTTCCTATGAATGTGCCTTTTCTCGCTTGCTCCCCYTTCTTTTTTTGTGATCCTGGGGCTAAACCCAGGAACTTGCAGGAGGAAAGCAAGTGCTCTACTGCTGAGCCCCAGCCCCCACTTGAGTGTATCTATTCTTTATTTCTAGGCAAAGGAAACCAACAGCAAGCAGAAAGAATTTGAAGACACTGCTAGGAAAGTCCGGCAAGCTATGGAGCAGCTGGCTGCCTTAGAGTGAACCTTGCTGTGGTCACCTGGTCCCAGGGTAACACGACTTTTCCCAGGCCTGGTCCCCCGTGTTACTGCCTTTCTGTGGAACTCCTAGAAGTACCTTAGGAAAGGAGAATGCCAAAATTTTGAAATTGGACGTTTAGACTGAGTTTTGTTTCTCCTGAAGTGGCATCAGCGCCTCTCTGCCTGTGTGGCGGTGCTGCCTGTGACAGTAGCTGTGCCTCTCCCTCGTAGGTGGCTCTTGCTCTGTTGAGCCCTGGCTTGGAGGCGAGAGTGGGGAGGAAGAGGGCAGAGTCCCTGTGACTAGACCTGATGGGCAGCGGAGGAGGGCACATGCCTGCACAGGAGTTGCTGATCTTGGTGTTCCCAATAACCTGTGAGCCTCTGGCTGCCCGTAACTCACCTGTCTTTCTGATGTGACTCCTCCTACAGGGTGATGGAATAAATTAATTTTTAAAAACTTCTCTCAAGGAAACTGGTTATGTTTGTTTTTTAAATAAGTAGCTTGTTTATATTTTTTATTGTAAGGGTCCGGCGAACGACGGAGGAAGAGACCACCAAGAAACCGACTCATGCAATAGCAAAAGGGGGTTTATTGAGGATCCAGCGCGCTGGGGCTCCACGCTCACTCAAGAAGGGAGAGTGGCCAAGAGCCCCGAGCAGGGGTTGAGCAGTGCTTAAGTACACTTCTTTAGGGAGGGCAGGGACTTTACATACATCACAGTCCCCTTTAACCAATCACCATACACCTCGAGGGAAAATCAAACAACAATTCTCAAACATGATTAGTACATTCACTGGCGGGAACAGGTCGGGCTGGAGTGATAGGTCA